AAAAAAAAAAAAAAAAAAAAAAAAAAAAAAAAAAAAAAAAAGAAGAAAAAGATGTGTATCGAAGCGAAAGAAGAATCGAACTTTTGCACGAAGCTCTCTTCCTCATCTTTTCACCTCGATCGACTTCCCTGATCACGATTCATCGATATACAAAGCACATAGAAAGGGTCAGAGATCATGGTGTGCATCACTGTCCATCGCTGTTAACCAATTAATCAGATCATTCACCCTTCGGCCTTCTTTTTTTCCCCGCTCTCCCCGTTTCGCGTCCCCTGACCGCGAAATATGGAAAAAGAAAACTCTTTCTCTATGGTGTATCTCGGTGTTTTGTGTGGTCCGGTGTCGTGGCTGTCCTCGTTCAGAGTCACTGAAGCTAAAAAAAGATCGCTCAGAAGCTTCTTAGGTTTCATTGAACTCACCGATTCGATAAATTCGCTTTCAAATTGACAAACTTGGAGAAATAGAGCGAGTTTCTAAGCGTTTCCGAGTGATCTCGCGAAAGTTTTTGAAATGATGTTTTTCAAAACCGCGATGACCAACGAGACTACTAGCGCCACACGAGTGCTAACTACTAACTGTACAATATGCGTATTTATTTCCTAGCATTCCGCGAATGCTCAGAAATTTCGTTCGAAAGATTTTCCAAATTTTTCGAGGATTACTTTCTCGATGTGAAAATTAGAATGACAATTCGCCTGTGCTTGATCATTTGGGGCTTGTTTGAAAAGCGTCGGAAATTATTGGTGTGATTACTTGTTGAACGGTTTGTTACGCGCTCTTGGTCCTTTCAACCTGATTCACTTGAACTGACATCACTGTCAGGCAATCCTCCGAACGATCGACGCCAATTTCGTCATTAGTTCCACAGATATTGCAAATTGACGTTGAATAATTTCAACGCGGAGCGCGCTATCGATCCGCGACGGACTATTGGCTCTCCCTTAAATTTCGAATTTTCTCGATTCTCTTACGCATAGAGTGACTACTGGTCCAGGAGCTCGAAGCCAATTTCACATTCGTAAAATAAAAATCACAATTGCAAATTTCATTTGCGAACGGGGCGAAAATGGTGGGAAGCAACGTCGTAATTTTACTCGTCCAAAAAATATGGTTCTAGAATCCGAACTTTTTGGACGGAGGTATAAGTATACATTTCGTCGCTACGAGAAATGCTCAGTGACTCTGAACAATTGACACAAACGCGCCGTCAATGTGCAACAATGAGGTTCGACTCTTGACGAGAAGCACCTGGTTTCCATGGACACCAGGTATCTTCACTACTCGTTCATTCAAGTACCACGAAATCTAATAAACTCCATTGCAACGAACAAGCAATTAAAAATATAATACAACGAACTGTCGGAACGAGACGAACCGTCATTCGAGTAAACGTAAAAGTATAGCACTGCGAAGACAATACTTGTTGCCCAAGGAGCGGTTGCTTCGAGTCGAAAAAGAGTCGGTGTAACAAACAAACGAAATGAAAGGAAATGAGATGAAAGCGAACAGAAAGAAAAGAAAGCACCTTGTGCGATGTCTCTGTTGCTATCTCTGTATATCTCGTGTGGGCAGACGTGGACGCCATATACCAGGTGCTGAAGCAGGCAGGCGAGATCCGTGGAAACTCGACAAACTCACCACCTACGCCTCCCACAGCAGATCATCCTCCAGCACCTTCGTCAGCGAGGGCCTCTTCCCACCCTTGTTCCTCGTCCACCTCTGGTAAGACACAGGCACCGGCTCCTCTCGACCTTGAAGCAGAGGCCTCACCTTCCCCTCTCTTCTTTTAAAAGAAACGCGCGCCAATTTTTCCATCTCCTTCTCTCCCCCCCCCCGCTCCTCCCCCACTTCTTCCCCCGTTTCTTCGACTCTGCGAGCGAGTGGAGTGCTCTTCAGCAGTGCATCCTACCGTGACAAGGGAAATTGCTGACAAATGGCTCGAATTGTCGAAGCTTGCAATAAATCGTCGATCCCTGAGAGTAGAATTTACGAACGATATTCGCGAGCGTTTGAATTACGTTTGAAAGTTTGAGAGAGATGCGAGCGACTTTCTACAGGGAGGTTTCTGTCACCAATCGAATAATAAGACGAACGTCTGCTTCGTTAAATTATCATTTCGTTATAGAAAAAAGAGATTAGAGTATTTGGCCCTTACGTGATGTACTCGAACTCCATTGAAAATGGAATATATTCAATTTTTAGCGGTGGAGAATTTCAAGGTGAATTTCTTTCAGACTTTCCTTGCCAATTATATCTGTGATACGAGCGGTTTCTAGATTTTGTTTCGACGTGGCTCGACACACACCCGGCAGAAATTCTGTTACAAACGCGTGATTGCAGTAATTAAGAAACGAGATCTGATTTTAAGACCTTCTGTTTCGTTCGTGACAAATTGAAACGGGAGAGATGGATTTGAAGACCAATTTCTCTCGCGTAGCGAGACTTGAATTCAATCTTCCGTTCAGTTTGTTTTACTCGAAAACGGAGGGGAACATTTGCAATTCGAGTGAAGGATCAATGACGAGAATTTATCAGAGGTGTTTTTCGAATTGATTTCAACAGACAGTGCAGCTGCGTAGTGTGTTTTGGGTAAAAGCGTTGGAACATGAAGGAAGAAGAAGAAAAAAAAAAAGGAAACTAAGGAAAGAGTAGGATGCAACACTGAAGTGATTCCACGAGTTTCGATAGGTTTTAATGGCCGGGCAATCTCTGCTTCAAGGTGGCACGTAACCCCTGTTTCTCTTTCTTTTATTCGTTTTGTCAAAGAACGGAAGTATGTGCTCTTCTTCAGGGACATGACTCGTAACAGTTTGCCTCTCTTTTCTTTCTCTGTATCTCCAAACTGCTCTCTCTCTCTTTCTCTCTTTCTCTTTCTGTCACTCTGCTTTTTTCTCCTGCTTCATCTTCATTCTTCCTCTCTACCCGCGCGCCATCTGCACGGCTCTTTGCCGTACTACTCGGGGATCCCCCGAGCTTCTTCGCCATTGGACTGCAAATTTTCATGCATTTGATGATTTTATCGAAAATCCGAGTAATGAAAATAAAGCAATAATAAGTGGATGGAAATATAGAACGAATGCAACCGCGAAACCAGTATAAATTTCGATAATATTTGGCAATTCCCGCGTGAAAGTCTGCAGCCCGGTCGTCACATTCCCGGGATCATCGATTTTGCTCGAACGAATCGATTTTCCCGATCTCGAGAGAGTTCTTCGCCGAGACAGTTTCTGGGACGCGAGATCGTTCAGTGAACAGTCACATTCGACTAAAATCCTTTGCAACTACGAGAAAAAGAAGTATATCATCGTGGACATTTTTGTTATTTTCTTATCGTGCAATGTGTATGTATGATGTGAAGTCCCATCGATCATCCGGTCTCACCGAAGAAATATCGTGGAAGGAAAGGAAGACGCCTCGTCGCATTCGAGAT